GCACGCAAAGTTACCTAATGGAAACCGTTTGTCAAAGCGGGGGGGGGGGGATGGGAGGGAGGGAGGGAGCAGTGGCACAGCGGTATGTCTGCGGACTTAGAACGCTAGAAACCGGGCTTCGATACCCGTTGTGGGCAGAGCACAGATAGCCCATCGCGTAGCTTTGTGCTTAATTACAAAACAAACAAGCGCGGGGAATAGAACCCCGGATTTTTTGTGTTGCAAGTTCGTAAACTTACCATCGACCCACCGGGGTTCGTGCGCAGGAGAACGGATTATTTTAGGAGACCGATAATCATTTTTTTTTCATTCATCAGTCTATTTGTATCTTGTAACTTGTTTATCACGAACCGAGATATGTCCTTAGGATGTTTTTAAATAAAAACCTTGTACATCCATTTCAATGATGGATTTCACTCCTTTTGGTTTGCAGAAGGAATCAGTGTTTACAGCATAATAAATCTTCAAGCCGCGAACGTTCATAACACTACTTTTTTTAAAGAAGACGAGGACAGCCAGACTGTCACGTGACTTAAGGTGGTTGTCCTTAATCGATTTTTACGACCTATTGAGACAATTTACACGCTTGGTTAGGTCCAAATGTTTCGGAAGCATTGCAATAGTAAATTTCATGTTACACTGTGTGTATATTATGTGTTATGGCATGTTCGACCTTAACGTTGCACATTGTCGGTGGCTTATTCCTTTAGCTCGTATTTTAATTTTAGGTATTTTGGAAAAATGAAGGGCGGCGCTAGTGTCGCAACAGACGATGATTCGATCGATAGGCTTAGTAAAAAAATGGACGCCGGTACATCGGACGATAATTCAAGCAACAAAATGGCCTCCTATTGTAAGAGGACGTGTCAGATAACGAGCGTAATACAAGGGCAACTACAGTCGCCTCATTTCATCCAGACCAGGTGTTTTCAAACTGTGGGGAGGTCTCAAGGGGGCGCGAACGTTAAGGTGGATTACGGTACTCCTTTATTTATATATATATATATTTGTTTAGCTTGAAAATAAAATGTCTGTAGAACTGTATTATCCTAACAAGAAATGAACTCACTGCGTTCTTTTTTTTTTTTTTTTTTTGTCCCTACAATGCTAGAAACCGGATTTCGATACCCGTGGTAGGCAGAGCACAAATAGCCCATTGTGTAGCTTTGTGCTTAATTACAAACAACCAAACAATCTTTTTTGCCCTAAGGCCCAGCATGGTTAGGGTTAGGGCAT